TAATTTATTCTGATTTCACTGTACCTATATGTTATTCTTGGATTTTTAAATGGGCTTTAGGAAAAAGCAACATAGTATTGATCTAACTTCATATTTATTGGTAGAATGATTAGAATACATTGGTTTAATGGATTACCCATCATAGAGGTATCAAATGAGATCACAGGCATGAAAGTGCTTTGAAAACGGTCATAAACTATACACATGTAAAATTATATTATTGTTACAGTTATTTTTTAAAGAAATATCACAGGAAGAGAAATCCAAAGAATATTTAATGATTAAATTTTCATCACTGATCATCAGAGAAATGCAAATTAAAACCATAATGAGATAACACCTTACCCCAGTCAGAAGGGCCTTTATTAAAAAGTCAAAAGGCCGGGCGCGGTGGCTCACGCCTGTAATCCTAGCACTCTGGGAGGCCGAGGCGGGAGGATCGCTGAAGGTCAGGAGTTCGAGACCAGCCTGAGCAAGAGAGAGACCCCCATCTCTACTAAAAATAGAAAGAAATTATCTGGACAACTAAAAATATATATACAGAGAGAGAGAAAAAATTAGCCACACATGGTGGCGCATGCCTGTAGTCCCAGCTACTTGGGAGGCTGAGGCAGGAGGATCGCTTGAGCCCAGGAGTTGGAGGTTGCTGTGAGCTGGGCTGACGCCACGGCACTCACTCTAGCCAGAGCAACAGAGCCAGACTCTGTCTCAAAAAAAAAAAAAAAAATAGAAAAAGTCAAAAAACAATAGATGTTGGCACGGATGCAATGAAAAGGGAATGCTTATATAGTGTTGGTGGAAATGCAAATTAGTGCAACCTCTGTGGTAAACAGTATGGAGATTTGTCAAAGAACTAAAAGTAGACCTACCATTTGATCCAGCAATCCCACTACTAGGGATCTACCCAAAGGAAAAGAAATCATTAATCGAAAAGACACTTGCACACTTATAACTTTGACTCAAACAGTACAAAAGCAATTTATGTAACGAAAATGTTTGTACCCCCATGATATTCTGAAATTTTAAAAAAAAGACACTTGCAATCATATGTTTATTGCAGCACAATCCACAACTGCAAAGATATGGAATCAGTCTAAGTGCCCATCAGCTGATGAGTGGATAGAGAAAATGTGGTATATTTTCTTTAGAAAATGTGGACTACTAGTCAGCCATAAAAAAGAATGAAATCATGTCTTTTGCAGCAACTTGGATGGAGCTGAAGGCCATTATCCTAAGTGAAGTAATTCAGGAAGGGAAAAGCAAATACCACATGTCCTCGCTTGTAAGTGGAAGCTAAGCTGTGGGTATGCAGGGACATACAGAGTGGAATAATGGACATTGGAGACTCAGAAGCAGGGAGAGGGAGTGGGGTGAGAGATGAAAAATTACCTATTGGGTACAATGTGCACTATTTGAGTAATGAGTACACTGAAAGCCCAGACATCACCACTATACAATTCCTCCATCTAACCAAAATCCGCTTGTACCCCTAAATCTATTGAAACTTTTTAAAAAGAATATTTGATGATTCAATTCAATCTTGACCACTGTGTGTGTCCCCTAAAAGGAGTTAATATTTGAGGGAAGGAGAACCTTCTCAGAGCTTCCTCAGTGTAGGTAATTGCTTAACTCAGTGCTTCTCAAACTTTAATGTGCAAAGGAATCACCGGGGGATCTTATTAACAGGCAGATTCTGGTTCAGTAGGTCTGGGGTGGGCCTGAGACTCTGAATTTCTGACAAGCTCCTGGGTGATGCTGATGCTGCCCATCTGTGGACCACACTGTGAGTGACAAGGAATCATTTTGGTTCTGCCTTTTAATGCCAATCACTAATCTTATTATTAAGAGCAAATGTGTGGTTACAAGGAAACATACTCAGTTAAGTGGAGACATTACTCCTTTTCCACAAATGTAGAAGTGACACTGAAACTCTGGTTTGAAAGATGAGCTTGAACATCATTGAGGTGGGCCTCATATAAATAATTCTTAACAGAAAGGTTTCTATCCCTTATTTTCAGTATTCACAAGAAAGAAAATTTCAGTTCCTTTTAATAAATTAAGCTTAATATATAATATTTCTACCCTTACTGGCAGGAAAATTTCTCTTTTTCTCATCTAAATTTTTTTTTCTGTTACAATTTAACTCTCTTGTTACTTCAGATTGGTTGCTAGAGAAATTAAGTACATAATCATTTCCAAGTATCTTTTCTTTTTTCATTAAAGCCCAATGGCTTCATTAAAAAATGCCTGGAGTTCTAGTAATTTAGTCTATGAAATGAATTTCGCTATATCCCAGCTAAGTAAATATTTGATACATATAAAGACATAATGCAAACTACTTGTATAATGGGTATGCCTTGAATTATAGCCCCGATCCCTTCCAAGACTAAAACAACAAGAATGGCAACAGCATCATTTTCTCTTTGATAGTGGTGGTATTTTCTTTTTTAATACCAATTCCACTTCTTTTCTTAGATGACCTCAGAGGCTGGGGAGATAATTTCGTTTAAGAAAATATTCGTCAGTTTACTGGATTGACATGTTCCTTGGGGAAATCTCCACTGGTTTCCTATCTGGAGATTTAAGTTCCAAGGGGAAAAGCTGATATTCCCCTGGCTGATAATCACAAGCAGAGCTATATCTCCATGACTGTGTGACCAGTGCCCTCACACAGAGCTCTGTACTCAGAAGGTCCCCATGCTTGGTTTAATGCTCTGCCATCTCTGTCTTGAAATTCTGAATAATTTTCGAACAAGTGGCCCCCACATTTGCATTTTACACTGAGCCCCACAATTTATGTAGCTGGTCCCACGTACGTGGATGAACGCACTGTTCATCTGGTTTCCTAGAACGTGCATATAAAATTTAGTCTCTGTTCCAGCAGTATTACCTTATTATTTCTAAAACCAAACCAGTTCAAATTATTAATTATTCACCTCTCCTACCAAGAAAGACTAGACACATGTGCACCTGTGTGCACTTTTCTACTAGGCCACACTCATCACCCTCTTCATGCCCTTGTGTCCCTCACATCACACACTGTAGTTTCAAGGAATCCTAGACTGCCATTGATGGCCATGCTGCCAAGTGATCTTAGTCTTCTCATCATTTTCACTTATTAATTTCATGACAGGATAATTTATAGAGATGTTTATGTTTTGTTTTCCCTGCTGTGGAAGAATCAGTCAGAATGAGAAGAGGATTTACCTCCCCTCATCCAAAAGGAATGGGTTCTCATGCAGGCTGAGGTTGTTTGAATACAACCTCTCTTCCTGTCTTAGTTCATTGTGGAGATCATGCCAGGTGTGCAGGGAAAGGAGCGAAGAGAGCAACTGGGGAGATGGTGGCTAAAGCAGCCAGAGAGGTGAAGATTACCCAAGACAAGGAAAGGAACAGAGGTCTGCAGTTGCCTTGAGTGGTGGGCACCCAAGATATACTCCCTCCTCAGTAACATGACAGGACTTCAGGAAAGAAGGGCTGTGTCCACTTTCAGCAAAAATCAGTGCCAATCATTGCCCAGAAGCAGCAGAGCCCTCAGTCTCCAAGGATCCAGCTTGGACAATGGGCATACAAGTGGTAATCAATGTGGACCAAAGACTGGAGAAACTGCCCCAATTTTTTTCTTTATATAAGAATACTAGAGGCTAGGTGGTGAAGTTGGGGAACCCACTAATAACTGATATTGAATTTCCCACTAGTCTAACAGAACAGGGACTCAAAATCAGATTATCATTTGATTTAAAGAAAATTAAGTAATGTGATCTTTCTTGCATGTCCCATGTAGTAGTTGCAAATTATTTACTGCTGCAATATTGAACCCACAAACACCCAGCTAACGAGTCACAAATTTCCCACACAAATGCCCTTAGATTTTTTTTTGCCAACGAAAGTCCTATCTAAAACATGTCCACCTCTTTTTATAAAGGGGAACCATTGATGTTACAAAAAGGGCTATTGAAGTAAACATCTTGTTACCCCAACTGATAAAAATTCTGCTCTTCGGGGTCTTTTCCTCAACAAAATCCTCCCATAACCTTAGAGGTAAGGGGAAAACTAGAGAAGGATACCAGCAACAAAAGACAAACCCTTCCTAGAGAGACAATCAGAAAAAGGCAGTGTTAGTACCCTGCTACTCCCACTATAAGCCAGTCTTCTCTAGGATCCTATGGTCCCTCTTACTATCGGAATTTGTAGCACATTTCCCATGTAAAATTCCTTCCTACAAGAATTTTTAGCACTTTTGCCTAATGTCAGAGCCATGGCCCCTATACTGAACATTGCTTCCAATAGGTTTGCATCTGGTGCCTAAAGCATACAGCCACTGTCTACGTCTCTGTCTTAAGATGGCTCCCAAAACTGCTCTCCCTATGAAGGCTGTTTTTTCCCAGCTGGATGATAGTTTCTATGACCATCATTGCTCTCCTAGGTCATTAAGGCTGCTTCCCACTAAGTAAATTGCTGTATCCAAATTAGGGCTCTTCTAGCTCTTGCACTCTCACTTAGAGGAAAATCGGACCTCTGGAGTCTTATGCCCTAAAGGAGAATACAACAGAATCCTAACAGTTTTAGTTGTTTGTTTGTTTATTTTACTTTTACTGAACCCTATACGTGGTGTTTCAGTTGTTACAGGTTCTTAGAAGGGATACAGTTCTATCTATCTTGACAGGAACTGGTTTGGATAAAGTAGCTGAGCAATGTTCTCAAGCACATATGAGGGCCTTCCTGGTCTTTCAGGTGACTGGTGTTCCAAGCCCTCCTCTTAATAAAACAAGTGTTCCTTCCAGATATCTACTCCTCTAATAGGGGACCTTGTTTCTGAAGCTTCCTGAAGGAGCCCCCTTCACTCTTCCAGTTGCCTGATGGATGTTATCCAAATGGTCCTGGGTCTTATGGTCATGAGAAACCCGCGCCCTTCTCCCTGCACAGCAGGTACATTTAGTCACGCTATTAGCCTACACAGATCTTGAGCAACATTATACTGTTGGACACAAGACTTCCAGTCACTCAACCACAATTAGCTGCGCATTGTCTTTCTCCACAGTTTTGTTGCCCAATGCGTTTCTAATACGAGCCCAGAAGAGTGGCCTCTCGTGGGCACTGTCTGGCCAAGTTATAAATGTCTGCCTATTCACAAGTTTCCTGAGTCGGTGGTAGCTGGATAGCTTATAGTTCGGGATCTCTTCCAAGAATATCAGGATAATAACATCCTCATGCTCATAGAACATTTTTATGCTGGCTAGCTGTACTTCAAGCCGACACCATTCACTGTGCAGATAGTGGTTACTGACCACACACAAAGTTTTCCGGCTGGTGTTTATGGCATTCTGGATGTTCTCAAAGATGTCCACACCTGGTTCAAAGTCCCGGTGGTGAAGACAGAGCTTAAAGGTGGGATGGCCACCTTCTTCTAGGGCTGGAACAAGCTGTTCATACACCCATTGCTCATCAGTGGCAGTGAAAGAGACAAAGGCATCATAGGTAAACTCCTTCTCTGTCCTGTGCCATTTGGCTAGATACCAGGCTCTAAGTATGTAGAGCCCATACCATAGAGATGGAGTCATCTTGGCAGTGACCCAAGAGAAGACCATAGTTGTGAGGACCAGACTGAAGGAACAGAAAAAGCAGACCCTCCCCAGGTCAAAATTACACATAGCATCATCAAAATCTATCAACAAACTCTGGGTATTTGGCTGCTGACAGGGGTAGCTCTGAAGATAGGGGATATGGACATTTACTGTGTTTGTTGACCAGTTCTTGAACCATACATTGTCACAGTTGCACTCAAGTTTGTTCCCATAGAGATCAAAGTACTTCAAAGACTTCAGATTCTCCAGATCACTTTGATTAATGAATTTTAGGTTGTTGAATCTTAAAGAGAAGATCTGAAGGCTTTCTAAGCCCGAGAACATGCCAGGAGTCAGTGATTCCAAGTTGTTATTTTCAAGGCGTAAAATTTTTAGCCTTTTGAGTTTTTGAAATAAGGAATTATTTAAACTGAGACTTCGGTCTCCAGCTTTTGTTCCTGAGATATCCAATTTTGTCAGATTAATCAGGGGGTCAAACTGGAGGTGGTCCAGGAATACTGCAGGATTTTTTCCTAGGAGTAGAACCTGCAAGCTATTCAGCCCTTGGAAGAAGTTGGTTGGAACAACCTGAATCCCATGTATTTGTCCTTCTAAGTTGAGTTGTTTCAAAGATTTGAGGTTAATAAATGGAGGAAATAGCAAGGTCCTAGTGGTTTCATATGTAATTCTGTTAACACTGAGATCCAAAACTTCCAGATTTTCAAGGCCCAAGAAAATGTCTGCATGAAGACCAAACAAGCTATTGTATGCCAGGTCAAGATTATATAGAGTAGTGAGGCCAGAAAATGCATTCTTCTCTATAGCTTTCAGGCGATTCTGGGAGAAAATCAGAACCTGGAGCTTCTTCAGAGATTGAAAGGTTCTACACTTCAGAGTCCGAATATTATTGTCTCTAAGGTCTAAGAGTTCTAAATTTGGAAACTGAGCAAAGGAGTGTCTGTCAATTGTCACTATCCAGCACCCAGCCAAGTTGAGCTCTTTCAATGAATACAGCCCATTGAAGGCCATGTTATTGAGTTCTGTGATGGGATTTCTAGAGAGAATGAGAGATTGTAGGCACCTCAATGGTGAAAATGCAAAATCTGGAAAGCTTTTCAACTTGTTGTTGCTCAGGTCTAGGGCTGTCAAGTTTTGGAGGGAACTCCAAGTCCTGTTGCTGACAAAGGAAAGTTGGCACTTGTTTAGTTTCAGCCTTTGGAGGCTGGGCATAGTGTCAAACTCACTGTTATTGAGGTGAACCAGATCACTGCTTTGGCTCAGGTCAAGGGACAAAAGCCTAGTGCAGTTGGCAAGGTGCTTTATGCCCCTTGCATCAGTGGGATTTTTCCGAAAAACCAAAACCTCTAGTGTGGGTAAGTTTCTGAGGAGGTGACACATTGTGCCCAAGTTTAAGTGACCACCTCTAAGCTCCCTGTTACTGAGGTCCATTTCCCTCAGATTCTGCAGGTGTTTGGCTAGAAGCATCTCCAGTTTTACCAATGTTCCACTCAAATTTAAACTCCTAAGTTGGGGCAGAGTTTCCAGATACACATTATGGATGACTTGATGGCTATTCCGTGAGACATCCAGAGTGGTCAGATTCGGCAGTGACAGTGCAGAGAAATTTAATTCTGTTAGATTGTTCCCCTGCAGGATCAGATGGGTCAGGGAGACCAATGACCTGGGACTGTGGTTCAAGGAGATGATTCTGTTATTAGTAAGATCAAGGTATTCCAGGCATGGAAGATGCTGGACTGCTTCAAGAATATTGGAAAAATTGGTAATAAAGTTTCGAGATAGGCTTAAATGTTTCAATTTGACAAGAGGGACAAAGGAAGTTTTGTGGATATAGGTAATTAGATTGTGGCTTAGGAGCAAGGTCTCCAAGTTAGACAGGCCCTCAAAGGAGTTGTTTACACTTTGAATCTTATTTTCTACTAAATTCAAAAAGGTCAGGTTTTCAAGTCCCCAAAAGGCTCCGTCATCAATCTTCCAAATAGAATTCCATTCCAGTCGCAAGTCTACCAGAGCATACAAACTAGTGAAGCTATGGGCAGGAAGGACCTGAATTTGGTTCTGTGTCAAGTTTAGGTGTGTGGTGTATCCAGGGATGTCAATAATGGCATCTGTCAAGTTGGTGATCTTCTTCCGAATGCAGAACACATGGTGAATGTCCAATTCATACTGCGTGCACTTTCTGAACCCATATGTCTCTGCCAAAGATAACAGAGAAAGCCCAATTAAAATAAGCCAGAGCTGTTGAGGAGGCTGGAAATTCTCTGAGCCCATCTTGTCAGCCCCAGGCCTCAGAGTTACAATAAGAAAAAAAATCCCTTCGCATGTTTGATGCTCATGTTTGAAGGAATGGTCTTTCCATTTTGACTTCCCTGCAAAGAAAAGAGAAAGTGTTTTAGTTTAAATTTCTCCCTCCTAATAAATATTTCATAGCTCCTTCAAGGAAACTAAAAAGTTTTGCTGGGCCGGGAGTGGTGGCTTATGCCTATAATCCCAGTACTTTGGGAGGCCGAGGCGGGAGGATTGCTTGAGCCCAAGAGTTCAGAACCAGTTGGGACAACATAACAAGACCGTCTCTACACAAAAAATAAAAAAATTAGCCAGGCGTGGTGGTACACCTGTAGTCCCAGATACTTGGGGGGTTGGAGGAAGAGGATTGCTTGGGCCCAGGAATTTGCAGTTGTAGTGACCTATGATTGTACCACTGGGCAACAGAGCAAGACCCTGTCTTGATAGATGATAGATAGATAAATAGATAGATAGATAGATAGATAGATAGATAGATAGATAACTTGGCCCAAAGGTAACTTCCAAAACAAATCCATTTCCAAAGCATTATGTGTATCAGCAAAGACTGCTCTTTTTTTTTGCCTACAACCAACATTGTCAGCACATGGAGGCAGAGAAGGCAATTGCATACTTGATTTAATTTAAGAGAGTTAAGAGTTCCACAACCCTCTTGTCACTCTTGCACAATAAAATATCTCCCTTGTTGTTTGGGCTGACACCTGAAATTCCACCATTAGAGAAGCATGTGGGAGAGTCTATGAATCTCAATTTCATTAAAAGATAATCATCCATAGTAGGGACAAAAAAAATTAAGGTTTATAGGTCACCTCTACCTTAATGTGAATAAATACAGGAATCCTTGATTTAAAGCCACTCATTTCACCACAATTTGCATGTACATCTCCCAGGCAATTATAACTGTTATCAGTATATGGCAATACAGAATATGTAATTAGGTTAGTTAAAAGCAAGCAGAAAAAATACAACTACAATAAACTTAGATCTGTCAGTCTCCTTTCTGATGTGTGCTGCCCAAGGTTTCCCCAGCCTTGCTTCCCAGTTTCAACCTGTTCCCCCAGCTACTTGCGGTGATATAGTGAAAAGAGTACCAGCTCGAATAGACCAGGGCTCCAATCCCGTGTCCTTTCACAAGTTATTTAACCTCTCTGTACCTGATTCCTTATCTATACAATGGGATAATGATACCTACTCCCTCATAGTGTCGTGATGATTCAACAAGACAACTTAAAATGCCCAGCTTGTGCCTGCTACACTGCGAAGCCCAATAAAAGGTTATTCTCTTCTTTCCCCCTTAACTGTAGACCGACACCAGCACACCATCTTTGTGTGGATCTTCTAGCCCTTGTCTCAAGAGCACTGGTAGCCACAGAGGAAGGAGAGAAACAGTATAGTTGAGTTGGGTTGTTTTCTTTCCTTTGTATATATTTTCATATGCATACAAAGATATATAATATATTTTCTAGCATTTTTTATAATTCTAGGGATCACAGAACAAATATCCATTACAGAAATTGATAATATATATATATATATAAATGTATGTGCTATAAAAGAAAAATCTGAGGCACAATAAAAGTTCAAAGAGTTTATTTGAATAAGAAGCAATTTAGAACACCAGACAGAAAGAAGTTTAGTGTTGCAAAGAAAAGATGTACTGGGAAAATGTGACAGCAAAATAAAGAAATTACTTGATTGGTTTGCAATTTAAAAATTGCCTTTTCTTAAGTACCTTGTTGGAAAGTCCCTAGTCACATAATCATATTAGTTAGCTGCTTATGATTGGCTGAAGTTAAGTTTTATTTCTGTCTAACATAAGCATTTATCAGAAATGACCCAAGTTAAATTTGCTTATGTTTGAAATTTAAGCAAGATTTAGGTTACTTATGAGGCTTAGCTGGTTTTGTCTTCTCAGAGATTCTTCAGGCCTAGTCTTCATTTTAATTTACTTTAACAACGTATATCCCCTAAAAAATGTAAATTTCTTGGATGGGTACATTTATAATCAAGGCAGTATTACATTGAATAAAATCACAAAATGTGACTTCGAAAAGCTTTTATAAATAGTGTAAGCCACTTCCTGTAGTCTGTAATATTAAGACTCTTGAGAGTAGTGCACAAGAGGGCCCATCTACTTACAACATCAGCAACTTGGTATTATCCACTTTTATAATTTTTGTGATTCTGGTGGTATTAAAGTGATATCTCACTTTTTTTCTTCTTCTTTCCCCTTTTCTTTTCGGTCCTCTCTCCCTCTTCTGACATGTCACTGGAGACTGTGTTATGAGTTTGCAAACAGCTGGACTGTCAGGCTGCTTTTTTTCCCAGATGTTCCTCCTTTGCCTTCCCTTCCCCTCTTCTCCCCCACCCCTTTCTTTCCTTCATTCTTTCCTTGAAGCATTAAGCACTATTTGGAAGAGAGAGAGGAGAGAGAGAGAGAGAAAATGAACATACACAAAAGAGAGCAAAAAGAAAAGAGAAGGAAACATGACACATGATGTGAGCTGGTGATACATGAAGGTGGGGGAGGGAGAGGTAACCATTTTGCCTGTGCTGAACCAAGGAAGGAATGGGGGAGCAGGAAGAAGAGGAAGGGAAAAGGGGGGGAATCAGAAGAAACATTGAAGGCAGAGGGGAGAAGGGACCTAGAGACAACTTAATACAACTTGAGACAAGACAGCTTGGCCAGTGAGGTACTGCGATGTGATATCTGAATATTTGTGATTTGGAGAATATTTCCATATATTTGGTAGTCATCTGAACTTTTCTTTCAGTGATCTGCTTATTTTTTTTTGTTTATTTATTATTCCAGAGTTTTGTGAGAGTACAAACATTGTAGTTACACTTTATGTCTTTGCCTCGCCCAAAGGCATGCCCTTCCCTCCCTTTAGAGCTCCTCGTGTCCTTTAGTTGTAGATTCGCTCCCCCATCCCCCTAATCCCTAGAGAGTATTTCTGCCATGTGATCAACCAGGTGTTGATCAGTTAGTACCAATTTGATGGTGAATACAAATGGATCCCGTTCTTCTGCTCTTGTGGTGCCCCACTTTGGATAATGGGCTCAAGTTTAATCCAGGAAAGTATAAGAGGTGCTAGATCACTGTCG